GGATGCTACTTGTCCCATGTCCTCCAGTGAAATAAACCCAGCAATAGCAAGCAAGAGTGGAAGGAAGAACAGACACAGACATGGCTGTACACAGAAAGAGGAACAAGACAAAAAAAAATCTCTCCTTTTTAGACAATTTTTGTTATAAGCTAATCCTCTCCCTGTGAAAACTGCTATCAGGGAGCAAAATTTCTGTTCTTCTGATAAAACTCAGTATCACCTTGGTCCTGGGGAGGGCATTCCACATCCATCCTGGTAAGGACCTTCAGAAGGGGGTCAAAGCGTTCCTTGACCACGCCGGCCTTAGAGAGCTCCGCTGTGTCCAGCCTCTCTCTGTCTTAGGCCCTCAGACAGCGTGCACTTCAACACAATACAGAGCGGTCGACCACCTTGTACTCAACTCTGGAAGTCTTCTTTCTTCACCTGGGCGTCTTCCCCAAAAACGTGGTTAAGGACTTATCCCGGACGAGCCCCCAGGAATCTTACACGGTCCAGGGGAGGGGATTCCATGTCCCTCTAGAGTCCAACACAGTGACAGTCTCATGCAAAAAGATGAATTTATTGGGGAAGTGGATGGCGAGCTGACTGGCCAGGGACACAGCACACTCGAGCTGAAACTGTGACCCCTAACAGTCCCCAAGCTGAGGTTTTTAAAGGCAAAAACAATGTGGTCAAGCCTGGCCACACACAGGTGGCCAATGGGATTGTAACACACACAGAAAGATTGCATAGTTACATCAGGCTACATGCAGGTGGCCAATGGAGTTACAGTCTGTCTTATAGTAACTGAACTAACCTATCATTTTGGTTTTTGCATTGGCGTGCAAATTGGCAGGGGAAAAGGTGGGGTTTACGTTTTGGCGGGTAAAAGGCGGGATTTACATTTTGGCGGGCAAAAGGGGTGTTTTACCCATAAGTGTGCCCACATTTCACAACGCAGTTGGTCAAGATCACACAATCTTATCACAGCAAACAGCACAACTTTCCTAACAGTTTTGACATTTCCCGGAGTTTCAATAGACACAGCATATTTCCTGACTCCGAGGTGCTTGTGAGAAATCAGTATTTAATTTTCAGAGGTGGGGGAGCCATTAAAGATGAGTCAGTTTTGGCTCCCCTTAACAGATGAGTAGTAGTAGAGATATGTATTAGGTTGAACAAAAAAAGGGGAGCCTTTAACCTTCGAATAGGATAGGCATTGAGGTGAACAGGGAAGGCAGAGAGGGACAAACAAATCCAGAATCTAGCTGCATAGAAGGAATTTTGTGATTTTAAGAGAGAAAGTGAGGTTGAGGGAACTTTCCAGGCTTATGGACCAGAGGAGGGGGATTGGCTGTTGCTCCCTAGAAAGGGGGAGGAAAGAGGAGAGAACAAGGACAAATAAGAGGATAGTGATTGGCATGGCTGGTGGGCTGCTGTTTATACATGGTGGGAGAAGAGGAGAGAGAAGGGAGAGAGGCCTGTGGGAGAAGAGGAGAGGAGATTGGAATCACTAGGTGACTCCGGTATAGAAGGGAGAATAGAAGAGTGTGAAATTTTAAGCTTGACTGGGAACAGTATAGTAAGAAGAGTAGGAGAAAGACGAAAGTTAGGGGTCTGAGAAAGGAATGGTTGTTCATGAAAGGGCTTGATTAGAGATAGAGTACCAGGGAGATTTTTCCAAGTTTTATTGCTGTGGGGATGGTTAGGGAGAGTGTATAGGGACCCTCCCTATTTTGGGGGAGCAAGTTGGACTTGGGAGAGCAAGTTTTGAAGAGGCTTGGGTGAACCTTAAGGTAGACTGGAGTGGTAGGTACAGACTGGAACAAGGAGTCTACTTGTTCCTGGAGAAGCCATCTAAAAAGAGCAAGAAGGTAAGGAGGTATGAAGTTAGAGGTGAGGAGTCCAAAGGCAGGGCAGAGATAGGGAGTAAAAAGGAGAAGCCACACATTAGCTCAGAAGGGCTGGGCCAGAGGGTTAATGAGCCGCTGCATTAATGCAAGCAAGGGTGAGAGGTAAGAATTGGGTCTAGGGAAGATGGAGTTTGGAGGAGAGTTTAGTGAGATGAGTTTTAATAATGTGGTTGGCCTTTTCAACCTTACCAGAAGACGGAAGTAGGGGATGTGAAAATTCCACTTAATGTGGAAGGCTTCAGCTGTGAGCTCGGGGACTCTAGAAACAAAGCCAAGTACATTATCAGACTGGAAAGTGGGAACATCAAAATGGGGAATGATTTCTGAGGATGAAATAGGGACAACAGTGGTGGGGAATGCCTCGATCCAGCCTGAGAAGACATCTACCATTGTGAGGGGCAGTCAGTCCTCTCGTATGGAAGGCATGGATGAAATTAATTTGCCAGCCATGTCCCGGCACATGGACTCAGGCTTGATGGGTAGAGAAGGAGCGAACGTGAAGCCCTCCCTTGACTGAAGCGTTTCTGACAAAGGAGACAGGCACAGACAATAGACTGTAGCAGCTGAGACAAATGGGGATGGGTGGAAAGTGAGTAAAGCAAATGATGCAGGGGTTTAAAGGCCATATGGGAAGAGTTGTGAATGTCAGTATGAACTGTTTGGGCCTGAGAATCAGAGAGGATGTATAGTCTATTAAGAATGAACCAGCTGGGGCTGGGAAGGTGGCTCAGTGGTAGAGTGCTTGCTTGCACGCATGAGGCCCTGGGTTCGATTCCTCAGCACCACATAGGCAGAAAAAGCCAGAAGTGGCGCTGTGGCTCAAGTGGTAGAACACGAGCCTTGAGCTGAAGAGCTGAGGGGCAGTGCCCAGGCCCAGAGTTCAGGCCCCACAACCAAAAAAAAAAAAAAAACCCAGCTCTGACATAATTGCTACCACGGCAGTGAGATCATGCCATTTCTGAGGGGAATATGTAGGAAGAAGAGTTGGAAAAGCAAGAAGGGGCATGGTTATAGACATGGATTCGGCTGCTAGTTTCTGTCTCGTCTGCAAAATTATTTTCCTTGGTAATATGCTCTGTGAGGGCCTGGTATCCTTTTTGCTGGAGGACTGCAGCCTGGTAGTTTAGTTAGGCCACCTCCAGGAGAGATTTAATAAGGTATCCCTTGTTAATGGAGCCCCCTTGGATGGTCAGGAATCCTTGTTTCTGCCACAGGAGCGGGGAATGTGGAAGGTATACTTTGAGTCAGTGTAGATGTTAACTCTTTTCCCCTGTGCCAGTGTGGGGGCCCAGGTAACAGCAATCAATTCTGCCTGTTGAGAGGTGGTGTGAGAGGGCAGAGGTTTAGCCTACATTATTGTGTTATCCACAATAGCATAGTCTGATTGGAAGGCAACTCAGAAAGGGCCATAGTGCTGCCGTCAATGAACCAGGAGAGGTAAGCCTTGGAGACAGGCTGGGAATGAATGAGAGGAAAGGGCAAAAGAACAATATCAATGTCCTCTGGCCATTGTGAGTAGGAGGAAGGTCACAGACTGGTAATAGGGAAGCGGGATTTAGAGGAGGGCAAGTTGAGAAACAGCATTGGGAATTTCCGAGAAAATTGAGATGAAATAGTTGTAGATCGCAGGACAAGAAAATAGAAGTGGCTCTATATGATAGGATATCTGGAGGTGGTGGGGGAGCAGATGTCAAGTCTGCTGGCCAAGTGAGTTTGGGGCTCTCGGTGGCCAACACTGCCACTGCCGCTGACAGGGCCTGAAGGCAAGGCATGCACCCTCTGGTGGATACATCAATTGTTTGGACAGGTATGTCACCAGTAAAGGAACCCAAAACATACTGCTCTAGAACCCCAACAGCAAAGTCTCATGACTCCATCACATAGAGAATAAAAGGTAATGACAGGCAAGGCAGACTAAGGGCTGGGGCTGAGAGAAGCGCCTTTTTGAGGGTGTGGAAGGAGGCTGAAATAGGTTTTGTGGGGGTCTAAGGGCTCAGAAAGGTTACCAATAAAATGCCTCATCATCCTCATGAAGGAAAGAAGTTGGGGTAGAGAGAGTAGAGAGGAGGGATTTGCAGTCTATCAGAAACAGAGCAGTGGTGGGAGTAAGGCAGGTAACAGACTGTAACGAGATTTGGGCCTTTTTGGAGAAATATGGTACCCGTGGTCAGCCAGAAAGTTAAGAAGACAGACAGAATGAGTGGTTGAGTGTTGGAGAGAAGGGCTACAGAGAAGATCATCCATGTACTAGATGAGAAAACTTGGGGAAAGGTCAAGGTGGAGTAAATTAGCAGCAAGAGCCTGGCCAAAGAAATGTGAACTGTCCCAAAACCTTTGGGGGTAAGCTGCTGGGAAGGATATGTCTGGATCTGTCTAGGTGAAAGCAAAAAGGTCTTGACATTGAGTGAAGAAAGCATCATTAAGGTCTAGAATGGAAAACTTTTGGGTTTGTGGGGGAATGGTGGATAAAAGGTTGTAGTGACCGGGGACTACTAGCTGGATAAGGATGGCCACATTAACAAGGCACAGGTCCTGAACAAGGCAATAGGAGTTGTCAGATTTGATAACAGGAAGGATAAGCATGGTGGGACAGAAGGGTTTAAGGCCCCTAAGATGGCTAAGAGCAATACGGTATTGTGGGGTGGAAAGAAAGTGAGATGAATCATGAGAGAGTAGTACCGATGTAAGGTGGGCAGCTATAGTGGGAGTTGTAACAGACCACACCTTGGGGTTTACCTCTGGTGGGGGGGGGGAGGCTCTACATCTGGGAGCAAGCTGGGGTTGGTTATGAGTGAGGAACAGTCACAGGAGGAAAGAAAAAATTCTCCAAGTGCAGTCCTGAATTTGGACAAAATTTCGTAGCTCAACAAAGGCATGGGACACTGTGGTATTACTAAAAAGGAATGGGAAAACTGAACCCTGAAAGGTACACAGCAAAAGAGGTGTCATCCTAGGATGCTGGATGCCACCAATGCCCACCACGATGGAAGCAAGTACAGTGGTCATTGATATTCAGGCAAAGTCTGATAAGAGGGGCCTGGTATCTACTGCAAAGGAAATCAGCTTACCCGAGACCAAGATGGTTACATTAGGTTCTGAGTGATGTCCGTTGAGCCTTGGGTAGCGTCAGTCTTCAAGGGCTAGGCCTAAAAACCCAGGCAGGGAAGGGAGTGAGGCCATGTATTTAGACTGGGAAGGGGCTCCCATCCCTCTCTGGGAAACAGAGCCACCACTCAGTAAAAGGGTGCGGTGGCCTACCCATCCTTTGACAAGTGGGACAGTCGCTGCCCCCCCCCCCCCCCCCCCCCCGCCAACCCACACCATGCCCTAATTATAGTTATCGCAGTGAGGGCAGGGCCCAGGAGGAGGTCTGGGGTTTGGACAGATTCTAGCCCAATGCCCAGGATGAGAGTATTTAAGGCAGGGACCCAAGGGTCTAGCCTGAGAAGACTGTGCATCCCAGGTCTTGGAAGCACTAATACACCCTATAAGATATTAGCTGGCCTGGTCTGGATCTTGTTTTTCCTGTTCCTACTGATTGTTAATGACATGGAAGGCAATATTGAGTTCCTGTTGAGGGTGTTGGGGACATTCTAAGGTTTTTAGTTTTGTTCTGTTACCAATGGAGGACTTAGAAATAAAAAGAGAACAGCCGGACGCCGGTGGCTCATGCCTGTAATCCTAGCTTCTCAGGAAACTGAGATCTGAGGATCATGGTTCAAAGCCAACCCAGGCAGGAAGGTCCATGAAACTCTTATCTCCAATAAATCACCAGAAAATCAGAAGTGGTGCTGTAGCTCAAGTGGTAGAGTGCTTGCCTTGAGCTGAAGAGCTGAGGGACAGCGCTCAGGCCGAGTTCAAGTCCCCATAACTGGCCAAAAAAAAAAAAAGAGAATGGAGAGCAAGGCCCATAGAAGTAGATGAGTCAATGTATTAGAAGCAGTAGAGGGCATCTGTCTAACAGCTGGAAAATTCTGTCTCAATGGGTCACTGAATTACCTCCCTCAGTTTGTCAGAGCTGACAGACTTGCCTATGGTTTTGTCAAGGCTATGTAGGAAGTAGAGAATCATGTCATACCTAAGACCCAGGTTGGAGGTTAGGCTGATAATCCTACCCTGGGTCCATGCAAGGGACAGTGTCTGAACCAATAGGTTTTTGTTTGTTTGGGGCATAAACTTTATCCTGTCTCTGCTGTGCACCAGTCCAGACTCCTGATCTTCAGGAGTCAGGGTAAAGGTGAGAATCATAAAGAGGTTGTACGAGGACTGACCAATTATGGAACAGATGGAATAGAAGAGGAAGGTGGGGGCTGATAGGGTGGTAGGGAGACACTGAGAGGTGGGGTCAAAAAGGGATGTAGAGGAGGAAAATGGTTGGTGGGTTGAACCAGCAGGTCTGCACTGGGGAGAGAGGCAGGAGTAAGTTTAAGCTTTGAATGGGCCAAAATGATGTGAGGAGTACATGACTGGCAAACAGAGGGACAGGATCAGAGGTAGAAGAAAGTCTGAGCATAAGGGATTTCTGCAGCCTTGCCATTTCAGTGACAGAAGTTAACTAGATCTGTCAGGATATTTATTAAAGTCAAAAGTGTCCACCTGGTATTGAGGTAATTCAATAGAAAATGAGTCTCTTGGGTTTAATAAAGTAGGAGCCAAAAGACAACCCAAAGGGGTGGGCCGAGGTGGTTCAGAAGAGAGGTACCCATTTTAGGCTGAGAGTGGCGATTGAGATCCTGGTTGAGGAATACTCTGTGTATCTTTAGGAATGCAGAAGGATGCCTAGGAGCAGGACAATGTGTCAAGAGATCATCACCTTGTGAGACAGGTCAAAGAGGGCATTGCAGGCCAGGCACCTGGACTTTTGAGAACAAAAGTGGAGGCGGGGAAGCCTGCAGGCCTGCAGAGGAGGAGGTCAATAGTCACCCTTGCAGGTCCATAAGGCATTTACAAGTCTGAAATGGCCATCAGGAGAGGGCTGGGGGCCAATCAACCCTAGAGAGGGGATCATCCTGACCCAGACTGCTCCCCCTGGGTTTCAGCACCAAAATGTAAGGAATAACAGAAGAACAATTAATACAGGCTCAAGGCTTTATTATGTAGGAGTGGTCTCGTGTTATACTATGTGGGTTGTGGGGATTAGAAGAGAGTCATGTTCTGATATGTGTAAGACTGATGCAACTAGGATGGGAATTTGTGTGTCACATTAGGGAAATGGTACGGTATGGGGAAATGGACACTTCACAGATTTTTTTTTTTGGTGCTAGTTCTGGGGCTTGAACTCAGGGCCTAAACACTGTCCCTGAGCCTCTTTGCTCAAGGCTAGCTCTCTACCACTTGAGCCACAGTGCCACTTTCGGCCTTTTCTGTTTATGTGTCACTGAGGAATCAAACCCAGGGCTTCATGCACGCTAGGCAAGCATTCTACTGCTAATCCACATTCCCTGCCCAACTTAACAAATTTTGTAAACAGGAAAGGACGAAGGGGACAACTTCCTAAGGTCAAGGAGCTGAATCTGAAGAGTAATAAAATACTTTTACTACTACTCACTTTTTTGCATCAATATTACAAAAGGGTAAATAAATGGAGACAGAAGACAAGTGTATGCATTTCATTTAAGCTTGTCATCTCTCCTGGATTAAACTCCTGTTGTCCTAGACATTCCCAAGTTCTAGATGCATACATGTCACACAAAGTTTAAGTCCAGATCCTTTTAAAACAGTTATTTAGCAGAGCACGGGTAGCTAACGCCTGTAATCCTAGCTACTCAGGAGGCTAAGATCTGAGGATCATGGTTTGAGGCCAGCCTGGACAGATTGTTGGTGAAACTCTTCTCTCCAATAACTACTCAGTAGAAGCCGGAAAAGGGGCTGTGGCTCAAGTGGGGGAGTGACAGCCATGAGCACAAAGAGGCTCAGAGACAGTGCCTAGGCCCAGAGCTCAAGCCCCAAGACTGGCAAACACACAAGTTACCAAATGTTGCTTTGCAAATAACACTCGAGTAAAATTAATAAAAAAAACTTCTCTTGGTAAACCACCGTTTCCAAATAAACCCAGCCTACTTTTAAGATTAAACAAAACAACAACAATCCTGAAATCTCATGCGATTAAATTTACATACAACACCACAACAACATGCACAGAAAGCCCAAATTCGTACCTTCTGAAGTGACGGCACTGCAAAGGGATCCAGCGAGCAGTTACCGGGATCTATCGAGGAGAAAGCAACATTAGAAATGGTTTAAAAATACATAAAATGGCCGGGCCCCGGTGGCCCACACCTGTAATCCTAGCTAACTCATTGGAGGCTGAGATCTGAGGATCGCGGTTCAAAGCCAGCCAGGGGCAGGAAAAGTCCTTGAGACTCTCATCGCCAATAAACGACCAGAAAACCGGAAGTGGCGCGGTGTCTCCAGCGGTAGAGCGCTAGCCCTGAGCAAAACAAAGCTCAGCGGAACCTCACTATGGCCCTGACTTCAGAAAGCCCTAGAACCAGCACCCCCCCCCCCAAAAAAAATTATCCAAAGAGACCACTTTTCCTCTGAAAAAAAGGGCTGCAGAAACAGACACCGATGATCCTCACTCACTTGCCTGCCAGCCGCGGGTCAGCCTGGTAAAACAGCGGAGCCACCGTCTGGGCCTCCCGGCTGGTCCCCCCGGCGGGCCGGGTGCTCCCAGCCAGCCCGCGGCCTCCACCCACCGCCACCGCGCCTTCCAACCATCATCTCGGAAGAAACAAGGCACCACCACACGCACACGCAGCACGAGAGCCTTCCCCCCCCCCTTCCACACCCCCCCAAACTCCTCTCACCCCGCCTCACTCAGGAAGGGGCGGCGCACGCCAGGCCTGACCCGGCAGCTCCACCCCCGGCGGCACAGGGCGCGCCAGCTTTCCCCACCTTCTCGCTGACTGCGCAGGCGCGGCCGCCGGATCCCGCCCCCCCCCTCCCTCCCTCCCTCCGCCGCCGCCGCCGCCGGGACTCGCGCGGGAGGTGGTGTGTGTGTGGGGGGGTGGGAGAAGGGGGGGGGCTTCCGCGAGTAGATCATTCCGCCGCCGCCTTTTGGTGTGGCGCGGCTCGCTTTAAGGGAAAAAAAAAAAAAAGGTCGATTTCCTTTCCTGGGGTGAAATCATAATAAACAAAATAACAAACACAAACAGATTCCGCCTCTCCACCCCGATTCCTCCCAGCACCCGGAAGACGGTCAGGGTCGGGCCGAGAGAGAAAGAGAAGTGGGGGGGGGGGGGGGGCGGGGAAGCGATCGCACTTGGCCGAAGGCGGAAGCGAGCGGCGGACGGAGCGGCCTCCGCGAGGCCGGGAGGGATGCTGGGAGGGAGCGCGCGCGCGCGCGCACGCACGCACGCCGCCCGCGTGTCCCTCCGCGCGCAGCCCCGGGGACTTTTCGGGTGTGGGATTTTTTTTCCCCCCCCTGTTTATTTATTTATTTATTTCTCTGAGCACCGACCAGACGCGGCCTATTCCGGGGGAAGGGGGGGGGGAGAAGGAGAAAAAAAAAATCCCCCCACCAACCCCCACCCCCAGAAAACCAACCTCCTCCCACCTCCCCCCCAAGGGAAAAAAAAAAAAAAAAAACCCCAAACCAAACCCCAAAAGCTCCCGGGTGCAAAAGTTGAAACGCTTTCTGGTTGTAACGAGGCTGCGTCGAGACCGGCTGCGTACGCGCGCGGTGGCTCGGTGGTCTCCGTCCTCCCTCCCTCCCTCCTCGCTCACTCGGCCCTCTTCTTCTCCCCCCCTCCCTCCCTCCCTCCCCTCCCTCCCTCCCCTCGCTCCCTCCCCGCAGCACCTCCCGCCGCTCCCCCGTCGCCGCTCGCTCCCGAAGCTTTTCCAGGTCAGTGCGGGTCTGTGTGAGGGCCCTGTTACCACCGGATGTGGAAGTTGATCTCTTCGCTGGTAAAAAATAATTCCACTTCCCCCGGAACCCAGATCATCCCCGCGATTTCCTGTTGATTGCATTAAGGCGCCGGGTTTCCGGGGCTCCTTGGTGGGGTGGGGTGGGGGTGGGGGGTGGGAGAGAAGCGGCCCCCCCCCTCTTCCCCGCTTCTTTCGTCCGTGGGGGTCGACCGGGGTCGGCCTAGAGCCGCGCCCGCTCCGTCGTCGCCGCCGCCGCTTTGTCCGCCGAGCACCCCGGGCTTCTGGGAGGGGCGGAAGGAGCCAGGCCTTGTTGGCGGCCGCCGCGGCTCCTCCGTCTTTTGAGGGGAGAGGGGAGGGTGTCCCGCGGCGTTTTTCGGGGGTGTACCGCGCGCGGCCTTCTTTCCCCCCCACCCCCTCGACCCCCTACCTCAGTCCCCGAATGGCAGCGGCGGCGGAGGCCGAGGCCTCGGGAGCCGGAGATCCCCCGGCGCGCACGGGCCCGCGGTGGGCGGGAAAGGGAAGGCGGCTCGGCCGGCGCGGCCCAGGCGCGGCCCGGGCTCCGGGACTCCCGGGGCCTGTCTTTTGTCTGGTGGGGTTTGAGCCATCCAACCCCGCCCGGGGTTCCCGGGAAGAGCTCGGAAGTGGGATCGGGGCTTTCGGATCGAGGGAGAGAGCCCGGTGTCAGCGCGTCCCGGCCCGCCTGGGGGGACCTTAGCGCGGGGACAGAGGGGGGGAACCCCGAATGCCCTGGGCGAAGTAAGTCGTCCTGGTAGTGGTAGTAGGTGGTTGGTGGGAACGAAATGCTGTTCTGGACCTGGCTTTGGGGAAGGGGGGTGGGGTGGGGTGGAAAAAGTTGGGATTCTTGTTTTTGTTTCTAAGCCAGGTCATCCCGGCCCCCCCCCATCCCCTCCCCCGCCCCTGGCCGTGTTAATCAATCGGTGTATGGAGTGCATCTGATGGCAATCTCTTACTCCTCCCCCGCACCCCTCCCCTCGCCCCCAAAGTGTGTGGAATCCAGCGTGTCTTAGCCCCCGAGGGTGCACGGTTTTGCAAACTGCAATCGGAGCAATGACAACAGGCCTGGGCTTTTCTGTGTGTGTGTGTGTCCTTCCTCTCCCCCCCCCCCCCCCACTTTTATGCTTGCTGCTGCTGCTGCTGCTTCTGGCTTTTAAATCTGATTGGACTGTGGAGAGCGCACACATCTGTTCAAAAGGCCCGGGGCGCCGCGCAGTGCTGCTGCTGCTGATGGGGGGGGGGGGTCGAGGGTGAGAGGAGTGGGGGGGGGACTTGATAACGTGTAAATGTTTTCTGTCTGTTCTCTGTGTCCCTCTCCCCCCCACCCCCCCGACCGTGGTTTTGCTGTCTGCAGTTCAGGCAAGTTAACTTTTCACCGGTGGAAGTTTGTAATCTGCACCTAACGATCTTTAGTAGCTGTCAACCACCCCCCGCCCCCCGGGCCCCCCCAATTTCTCAGGCAGAGGTTAGTTAGTGGTGAGATGATTTTTTTTTTTTTCTCTTTAAACCCACAGCTTGGTTGAAATGTCTCACCGAAACGGTTTTTAGAGACTTCCACTTTCAGGCTTTGAATTTAAGGAAACTAAAGATTTTAATCACTTTTTTCCTCACTTTTCTCTTTGCAAGCTTCCCACCCCCCCCAAAAAAAAGCACTAAAAGTTGGTTACATAGCTACACGAGTAACATACCAGGCAAGAGTAACATTACTTTGCATTGTGCAACCTTTTTTTTTTTTTTTTAAGTCAGGATCGCAAAACAAAAAAAACCCCGTGCAGGCTGGCCTTGCACCTCCTGATCCTATCATGATCCTTTTACATACTTGGTTTAACTGACGGTAGCTAGATTCGTAAATCTGCTTCTGCCTTGATCTGTTCTTATAGTGGTGTCTCATATCATCACGGAAAACTCCGCTTAACACTTATTAAAAAAATTATAGAAATGTGTCATCCTGCTTTGTGTAAGTCAAATGAGGGTATTATGCAAGGCACACTACCAATAGGAATAAGGCATGATTCCTCTCTTTTTTAACCTAGGTTCTAACTTTAAAAATAGAAATTTTAGGTGACGCAGACAGTAAAGGTGAAGATTTTATAACATCTCATCCTAAAGCCTGGGAAACTTTTTGGAAATAATACCTCTCTCATGGTTTACACAAAAATGAATTCCACACCAATGTGCTTGTCAAGATTTGTGTGTAAATGTAATCTTTGAAGAGGGTAGGCCACTTTTCAAAGCTTTGTTTGAGCTCTAGATTTAAATGGAATCCTGCAGAGAAACCTTTTGTGAAACAAAGAAGAGTTTGTGTGTACCCTAAGAACTCTTTCAGCGGCAGTCTCTTAATCTGAATCCGATTCCTTGGTAGGGGACAGTTAGGTTTAATTTTAAGATCAGATTTTGCTTTAGTCGTTTTGAGAGGAAGCCAAATTTATTTCTAATTGTTTCTGTGAACTCTAGTCTGAATTTGTACAACTATAGTTGTCTACTGTTCCATCAACAGGAAGCATCTGGCCATTCTTCATGTAATTGTTAAAATACCGGGTGTGCTTTTAATACTTGCTGTTCACATGAAAATAGATTGGATCTTAGTTAATTTTATTTGATTGTAGTTTGATTTTTCCTCCATGGTGTCTAAATGTCTTTATAAATGGAAAATGTCCCCCCCCCCCCCCCCCCCCCCCCCCCCCCCCGCCCCATAACAGTAAAACAAATTATTTTGTGAATTTTGTGTTTTCACTTTTGAGGAGGCATAAGGCCCTTAATTTTCCATTATTCACTGCTGTGCCCTATCTCTTTTGCTCTCTCTTTGCAAACATTAAAAACAATCCTAAAGAAGCATAAGGCAGAGCTGAGAAGGTGGTTCAGTGGTAGAGCACTTGCCTTGCATGCATGAGGTCCTGGGTTCGATTCTTCAGCACCACATAAACAGAAAAAGCTGGAAGTGGCACTATGGCTCAAGCGGTAGAGCGCTCGCCTTGAGCTGAAGAGCTGAGGGACAGTGCCCAGGCCCAGAGTTCAGGCCCCAGGACCAGCAAAAAAAAAAGTGTAAGGCATTAAGCAACTTAGTTTTCTTCCTTCTTTCTTTTTCTTTCCTTCTTCCTTTCTTTCTTTCTTTCTTTTTTGGTGGTACTACACTCCATTTTTTTTTTTTTTTTGTTCAGTCATGTGGCTTGAACTCTGGGCCTGGGCACTGTCCCTGAGCTCTTGAGCTCAAGGCAAGCACTCTACCACTTGAGCCACAGTGCCACTTCCAGTTTTCTAGTGGTTAATTAAAGATACAAGTCTCACAGACTTTCCTGCCCAGACTGGCTTTGAGTCTCGATCCTCAGATCTCAGCCTCCTGAGTAGCTAGAATTAAGGTGTGATCCCTCAGCACCTGGCTTGCACCTCATTCTTGCTTAGCCAAGTACACTAGAGCCACATGGCCAGTCCCCTTTGCTTTTAGTTTATTAGTGATTCATGCTTCACCCCTGGCTGGACTCAGATATCAACGCTTCTGCCTCTGCCTTCTGGTGACTGGGATTACAGGTGTGAGCTCTCATACCAGGCCTAGTTTTCCTTTTTACTCACTTTTTTTTAAAATTGGTTTTGGGGCTTGAACTCAGGGCCTGGGCGCTGTGAGGTGTACTGGTAATTTTATATGTTGAAAGTATTCAAATTCCTCTCTTTTAGTTCTATATACCTAAATTGTAAACTCTAATTAGTCCAATTAGGTGGCTAGTTTTCTTCCTTTCTTAGCATGGCTGTCCTGTCCCCCTGCTCAGTGTCCCAACTTGGGAATTCTGGAGTAGAGTTGATGTGGTAGAGGAGGGGCTTGGAATAGCTGCCATCAAGTTCCCAACAACAGTTTGTGTGTGTGTGTGTGTGTGTGTATACGTGTACACATGTGTACACTGGTCTGAGGGCTTGAACTTGGGGCCTGAATGCTGTCCCTGAGCTTTTTTGCTCAAGGCTAGCACTCTGCTACTTGAGCCACAGCTCTACTTGTGCATTTTGGTAGTTAATTGGAGATAGGAGTCTCATGTACTTTTTCTGCCCAAGCTGGCTTCAAACCATGATCATCAGCTCTCAGCTTCCTGAGTAGCTAGGATTATAGATGGGAACCACCAGCGTCCTGCCTAGCAGCAAGTTGTGTAAAGGATGTATAGGGCCTCACATGGAAGAAGAGCAAAAGCCAATTGAAACAGTTGAGCTTAATTTGGGCCATGGTTTCTCCTTAGAAGTGATACGGAGAAGGGGGGCTGGGAAGGTGGCTCAGTGGTAGAGCTCTTGCCTTGCATGCATGAGGCCCTAGGTTCAATTCCTCAGCACCACATAAGCAAAAAGAAAAAAGCCGGAAGTGGCACTGTGGCTCAAGTGGTAGAGCGCTAGCCTTGAGCTGAAGAGCTGAGGGACAGCGCCCAGGCCCAGAGTTCAGGCCCCACGACTGGACTCCCCCCCCCCCCCAAAAAAAAAGGTGATATGGAGAGGGTGGATGAAGAGCTTTAAACTATGTTGTCATCTGGCAGACTCAGCAGCCTGGACAATGACACGTATAGACATGCATATCAAATAATTTATCTTGATGTAATAGGATGTGCGGAAAGCATGCGGAATGAAGCTTTTTTGATAGCTATGTGTGTCTCTTGGCAGTGGAGGCATGTGTAGTTCTGTGGTAGACAGCTGCTCAGCATGCTGGAGGCTCAGCCCCCAGCACCAGAAAGAAGAAAACACTGTATTAACACAGCCCCCACAGCCATCCTAGGAAGTGGGTGGTAGTCTCATTTTGCAGACTGTACTGAGCCACTGGGAAATGGGTAGCTATCTTGGTAGTTTGAATTAGTAAGTAATAGATTAGGGACCCCCTGATGGCTGTGCTGTACACAACCTAAACGTTGTACAGAGAGAGTTGGGACACCCCCACATAAGAGCACTGCCTACCTGTCCGTGAAAGGTGGCATTGGAAGAATGGAAATAGGTAAACGTTGTGTTGGCATATCTAAGTGGGACAAGTAGGTTTTAAAGCAGGATTCCATTGGACTTAAAGG